GCTGAGGTATGAATTTTTTTTTTCTTTAGTGTGATTTGAATTCGTTAATCCGTTACAATGAACATATATCCAAATCGGGTGAACATTTATTTGTACGTGCGCCCGTATCAATGCAGAAAAAAAACAATTTAACCCCTGGTTATACACTTATATGATGTGATATTATGCGGACGTCCTGGGTGTACATCTATAGTTCAAGTATCACATGGTCAACACTATCATGTCGTGTAATGCATTATGCAGTGGTATGTCCCTCACTTTTTTTCTCTCGTTCTCTATGCTGTCGTCTGTCCTACAGTGTTTACTGTCTCTCGGCTCGACTATAAATAGAGCGAATTTTCATAGAATGCATTCATTCGAAGATATTCACAACAGCGATAACATCAACTATTCTACTAATCTTCTCACTGGGACGAACAACTGTATTCACTGTTATGATTCATGATCAGGTCTGTTAATATATTTGCATGTTGTCTGCTTTTACTTCACTAAAATGTTTTCTTACAGATACTATGGAACCAACGGCATTAAATTATTCTTCAACTATAACAACAAGTAAAAGTCTGATATTTTTTTTTATATTAATATATTTATTTATTTTTACTGTATCTATGCTTCATATAGGAAATTTTTTTGTATATTTTAATAATGTCCATTTTTTTAATATTTACTATAGTTTTATGCTGTTATATTTCATTGACATTCAATTTGATTTTTCGATGAAACTGATTCTTTTTTTATGTTGTTAAAAAAAATCCTTTTATTCCACTGTTCATATTATATTTTTTTTCATAATTATAGACAATGCTTTTTTATTGTGACAATATCGTCTTTTAGAAGATATTCGCAGTATTTTTTTTTCTTTCAGATATAACTATTTATGATGAGTGCTAATACTCCTTTGAAAATTACTACAGACCAGTCGTTACATAAAACTGATCAACATATTGAAGGTGGATTTTTATCTTCAACAGCAGTGGCACTACCTCAACAACCAAGTACAAAACAAAGTGGAGAAGAAAACCATACGAAAAAAAAGAAATGTCGTGGCAATCGAAAAAAGCAACGTTATCGTCGACAACTTTATAATCAAGGTTTCGATTCAGATACCGTGGCAAAATTTGTTCAGGAAAAGTTTCATCCACAACTACAGCAAGAACAAGATGTACAGCTAGTCGAAAAACATGACTTAATAAATGGTCAAGTAAATTTTTTTTATTAATTTTATGATAAAAACTGCTTAACTATATTTTATATTGAAGACAACATCATCAATGGATAATATTTATGATCCATCAGAAATCGAAACAGGAACGAAACGAAAAAGAATTTTGTTAACACCAACACCAACTACGGAAACACGATCCATACTTGATAAACCCATAAATCAATTATCAATATCACAAGCAGCTGCTAAGAAAACCAAAACAACAACAGCTGAAGTAACATCGATACTTGATCATCCTTTTAGTCAATTATCAATATCACAAGAAGATGTTAAGGACACCAACACAACAACAATATTCGTGCATAATGAAGTTAACAATGTTCACAATGATTCAACAAATAATTATTTAGAAAATTTTAAGCCACATTATTTAAAAGTATCTGACCGAATATTCAAACGAATGTTAGCTGAAGCCATTGCAGATGGTCCCAAATTAGTTCAATGTTTAAATACTCCTGAAAAACTTTATGCTGTACGTGAATTAACTGAATTTACAAATGATTTCTATCATAAAGATTTTCAACAAAAATTATGGCATGAATATTATACTATAAGTTATCAAGACCAAAAGTGGGAATCAAAAATAACAAAAAAATTTGCTTATCAAAATAATACATGTCGAATGTATAGACCTAACAAAACTTATATTCAAGAACGGCAAGCAACAATTCCTAAACAAAAAGAACGAATAGCCAAGGAATTAAATGAATGTTTAACAAAATTATTAAGTAATATACAACATTGGCAACCAACCCTAGATGGAACCTTATTATCACATGCAATTAATGAATGTGTTCTACATAGTCAAAAAAAATTAAAAGAAGAATTTCAATATAAAACAGAAATGATAAAATTAGATTGGAATGATCATCAATTACTTATGAAGTTTTATGAATTACAACCTAATGAAGAACTTATTCAAATAGCTAAACACATTTGGCAAGTCACTGCCGATGAACAAAAAACCAAGGAACAACAGCAAATACTCGAACAACGTATTTATTTAAAACGATTACCACCAGAAACGAATAAAATGATAGACAATTTACTTGATGACAATCGAACAACACTTTCTAATCCATTTCTTGATCCGGACCAACGTGCTCATTTCGCATCACGTTGTTCGAAAACAATCATACAATGTAAATTCAATTTGATGATTGTACAATTAGATGAATTTGCAATTATTACACATCGTTATAATTTAACATTAACTAATTTAAAAGAAAAATTATTAAATCTTAATAAGCAATATCCACATATTTATACAAGTTTATTGTTAGATGTTATTGAAGAACGTCGACAAGCAATGATACAACGATTTATTCGAATACGTCAACATAAATTGAAGACTTTTTTCGACCAGGCTCCGACGGTGGACAACAATTAATTCAACATAATCACCGTCGGAGCGAACCATTCATTTACACAAGAATAAGTAGTTCATTACCTTTTATTGAAAAGAATATAGCTCTTAATACCAATCTTATACAAATGTTAAGTAATGCTCGTAAATATATACCACCATGTCAAAGTCGATTTTGTTATAAACGTATAAAGGATATTGCAAATACAGAATATGAAAAAGTATTAAGTTCAGTGCAACAGTGTCTTACAAAAAATGAAATGTCAATTAAGGATCAACGTGCAGCGGAATCATTTGCAGATTTACAACAAATTATTCATGATTTATATTGCAAACGATTACCAGATAAATTATATCGACATGCTCGATGTGAATATAAACAAGTTAAACGTCTTCAAAAATTATTACAGCATCGCCGATCAAATATGATGATATGCCGAGTTGATAAAAGCGAAGGCTTCTATATTGGTGATAAAACTATCATGGAACACAAAACTCTGGAATATATGAATACAACTGAAGCTTATCAAGAACTTACTAGTGATTATTGTCCTTTAGCTGACATATTACAAGCAACCACAAGTGTTCTCGATTATTTCGTGAAGAAAAATATCATTACATCAGCTAAACGTGATAAACTATTACCGAATTTAGATAAACTTGAACTACCTTATCTATATCCATTACCAAAAATACATAAGGTAAAATTATATTTAGACAATTCTTTTTTGCTTATTATACTAACAAGTGTTTTTTTTTTTGATCTCATAGCTTGGAATTCCTATCAGACCTATCGTTTCTGCACTACATGCACCAGTTAATTTAACTTCAAAATTTTTATATAAACTTTTATCACCGATCTATCTACAAGTGGCTTATGAAACAACAGTGATAAATAATATTGATCTAATTCGTAAATTAGAAAATTATACAGCCGATGGTCATCTTACATCAACAACAAAGTTTATTACAGCAGATGTTGAAAATTTATATACGATGATACCAAGAGATGGCGGACTTCATGCATTATTACGATTTCTCCAAAAATATTCTAAACATGGCAAGATAGGACCATTTAGTATAGATATGATAATGAAAATGGCCCGTCTCATTTTGGACAACAACTATTTTGCATATATAAATAAGTATTATAAACAAACTCGTGGTGGAGCGATGGGCTCTGCCTTTACTCAAGTATATGCCAATATATATATGTTAGAATGGGAAGAAAACTTAATTCAATATCAATCTTCGAAGAATGAAATTTATGGAAGGTAAGTCGGCAAATTCGCAATAACAACATCCATAATTTGTCTCTTTAGGTATATTGACGATATTTTTATGACAACCAATGAATCATATGATATAATCTCAGCCGTACTTGAACAAGCACAAAAACAAGATGTTAATATTAAAATAAATCCTACTATTAGTAATTCCGTTAATTTTCTCGACATTACTATAAATAATACTGATGGACAACTTACAACATCGATCTATCACAAGCCTACAGCTGATCCTTATTACTTACCATATCAATCAGATCATATTCATAATATTCACCGCAATATACCATATACTGCATTAGTACGTGCAGCACGTCTTTGTTCAAATCTTCATCAATTTCATAGGGAACGTTTAAGAATTCATGTATCCCTATTATTAAACGGTTATCGACCACACTTTATTTCGAATCATTTTCAACGATTCTTCCAAGTCAATAAATCTGATATTCTATATAGATACTTCGATGACAAAATGTATGCTCAATTACACCGAAAATTATTATATCAAACTTCAAAGCGTAAACTAGAAGAAGAAGCGATGAAAAAAGATCCTGTTGTATTTCCACCAGCATTACAACAGCGACCATGGAATGAACGACAAATGTATATTAGATATCGATATGAAAGTGGCCATATTTCGATGTTTCCAAAAGAATTTCGTAGATGGTGGAAAAAACATTATCTATCACCAGGATCAGAAGCCAACCGCATAAAACTTCGACTCATTCCTCAAACAAATCGATCATTACAAAACTATCTTATACGCAATAGGCCAAGCAAACGTATTCTCAAACAAAAAGATATGAATACATAGTAGGCCATTGAAAACACTTATACAAAATAAGACTATCACTAAAACCTATGTTAATTTTGTTACTGTTGCTCACTTTGATATGAAAGAAAATAAACAACAAAATAAAAAAATGACTTATTCAAATAAAACCTTTCATCAAAAAAAAAAAACTCTATTACATTTTAGATAAAACCATTACACACTATATACTAATTATTATGATTAATTGACACAACTTCAACGGAAACATCAACATCTGAAAACCTTCACCTTCAAGTAAGCAAGAACATCTAAAAGAGACATCATATTAGAGAATTCATATGCCCATCACAAGTACATAGCGATAACATTAACGTAACTTGAGAAATCCCAACATAGCCGAAAAAAAGGAAACCGAAAATAAGACAAGTAGTTAGAATACATGATACAATACTTCTATTCAAGTGAGATGCTTTGAATTTCAAATCTTGAGTTCTTTATTATTTGAATTATATTCAGTCCTTTATATAATTATGTTTTAGTCATAACTTCTTCAAAACTTTTTTGGATGAGTTATGACTTACATATAATTATGAAATTCTAAATATACCTGACGAGTCCCTTAAGCAAGGACGAAACGCGTCGTGAGATGCTTTGAATTTCAAATCTTGAGTTCTTTATTATTTGAATTATATTCAGTCCTTTATATAATTATGTTTTAGTCATAACTTCTTCAAAACTTTTTTGGATGAGTTATGACTTACATATAATTATGAAATTCTAAATATACCTGACGAGTCCCTTAAGCAAGGACGAAACGCGT